AAACTACACTGCAATAAACCAGCAGGACTAATTCTTACGCCTTCTCCTAAAGATGTCAGCTGTTCCTTAGTCACTATTAACCAAAGAAAAAGGAATTCTCAAGATAGATATCCACACACCCTGACAAAAAAGACCCCAAGTTGGCTATGCCTTAGTTTTACTTCCTAACTAAAGGAAACTCTTAAGTTTCTTATATCCTCCCCTCCCCATCCCCAAATGGTTGTTTTTCATTCTATCCACCCACAGGAAGTTTCTGCAGCCTCATTAAACCAGGTTGTTCAGCAAATGAGCCCATGCTCGCCTCTGCCCTGAAACCCAGCTGTGCTTACAGGAACCGGGGACCTTGAAGTACAAGCATTTTGACCTTCTGCTTCCTAGAAACAGTGTGTGGGCCACCCACTCTGTCAAGAGTACACAAAATCTTCACTCTTGAAATTGCTTTTCAGTCTCCTCCCTGAGACTTCTGTCCTCTTTTCACTATATACTCTCACTGTGTGATGCCCTCTGTTGCCTTGATTTCTGTTATGATCTGCTTGACCGTCTTTATGTTGATGATGCTTAAAATCTGGGATATGGACCCCATCTCCTTAAATCCAAAATATCCCCAACTAAATTTAACATCTTCCCCTCTTTCTAAACATAGTTCACTGTCAAGTATCTTGGCCAGAAATCTGATCATTTTCTGTGACTCCTTGCTCCCGTCTCTAATCAATTAACTGTCTTAATTCCTCCTCTATCTGTGCATTTCTTGTCTTCAGTGTTGATCACTGCAAAAGTGTCCTTACCATTCTCTCTGCCTCCAGACTGTTCCTTTATGAGTCATTTTCCAGACTGAAGCCTAAAGTTGTCTTCTAGAATGCAAATCTCACTATTCACTTGCTCAAAACTCTTCCATTGTGTTTTTGTTGCCCTCTGAATGTAATATATCTTGTAACCACCTCTATGGTTTGACTGCTACTAACCTCTCATCTGCCTCGGCTGGCAATGCAATGCACCCCCTATATTCCAGCCATACTCAGTGTTCATTCCAGCTGATAGGCCGTGCTTATCCTTGTCTCTGGATCTTGACATAAGCTCTTTTCTCAAATACTCTTCAGCTCCTGTCTCTAATACTATCACTAATTCCCCTCAATTTCCTCCAATTTCACCTAATAACTCCCCTCATCCTTTAGACTGTGGGTTAACCAAAGCCCAAGATTCCTTATCTGCAATGTAGATTAGATGTTCCTCAGGTGTGGCCCTTTAGTATCCTGTAGTTCATTCGTAAAATGTAACTGACAGTATCATCTGCACCAGCCACCTAGCTCCGTGAATGCAAAGACCGTGTCTGTCCTAATGCTGCCAGATCCCCAGAGTCTAATCTACAGAATTGGACACATAGTGAGTGTTCAATAAATATTTGTTGAATAAGCATTAAATGAAGCAAGGTGAGGGATTTGACATTCTCAGAGTCCTGTGGAAGAGATATCCCGTCTTTCTCAAGAAAGGAGACAGAGCAGCAGTCAGCTCACGAGACCTTTCCCTTTTCTGTCTCTTGGTGTGCCCTGTAGTGACATCATATAAGGACAGTCACAGTCCCTGCCTGTCTCATCCCTGGAGGCTCCACCCAAGGTGAACATTTTCTTGATCTTCTAGTTAAAAGAAGAACAAGCTATTGCCTAAAGAAGTGTATTATGGGAAGAATGTCATGCATATAGTGTCAGATGGCAGATTGAAATCTAACCAGGAGAAGAGACTATGAAGACAGCATAAAAATCATGGTTGTCCATTTTGTTAGTAGCTATGACATCCTCTCCTGTTGTATCTCTGTCTTTCTGAATAGTTCATTTTTGTCTCCTTCCTGCAGTTTCTTTTTGCTTGACCCTTGAATGTAGATCTTCCTTAGAGAGGCATCTGTTCATGCCAGAGGCTCTCTTTAGGCAATGTGCTCCATTTCATCATTTCCACAAACCCATCTATGCATGTGAATGACAGGTCCATATCTTCAACCCTACACTTTAGCCCCAAAGCCTTCTGGACATTTCAGATCAAATGTCTTATAGGCAGCTCCATCTCAACATATCTGCACTGAAGATACCGTCTTCAGCAGCAAATCTCCCCCATTTGTCCTTTTGCCATCCTATCACCACTCCTAGTCCCAAACCATAAACCCAGGAGGCAGTCTCGACAACTGCTTTACCTTCCCCGTCAATGTGCAGTAATTCCACAAGTGCCACCCCTTCAGTAGATTTTCATTCTATCTTCACCTCTGCTGTCAGAATATCCTAGCCATAGTTTGATCTTTACCATCATTTGCCTTAATAAACCTAAATAGATTTGTTCTCTCCTTCTGAAAGTTCAATGTATTGTTATGGTGTTTTCTTTCTTTCTTTCTTTCTTTCTTTCTTTCTTTCTTTCTTTCTTTCTTTCTTTCTTTCTTTCTTTCTTTCTTTCTTTCTTTCTTTCTCTCTCTCTCTCTCTCTCTCTCTTTCTTTCTTTCTTTCTTTCTTTCTTTCTTTCTTTCTTCCTTTCTTCCTTTCTTCCTTTCTTCCTTTCTTCCTTTCTTCCTTTCTTCCTTTCTTCCTTTCTTCCTTTCTTCCTTTCTTCCTTTCTTTCTTTTCTTTCTTTGGTTAATTGTTGTAGTTCCTGCTTCCCTCCCCCCC